CCACTGTGGTGGAAGTCGTGATCTGTAGGAATCCCAGTTATCACCACCCTCCATGTTGGCGATTGTAAGTGATCAAAACGGAGAACGCAAAAATATTGACATCCATTGAACGGAAGAGGGGATGATTTGAAGTTCAAGAAATCAAATGCACCGCGCTTGGATGCTTCAAGCCGCTTAAAGTAAAATGCCCGAAGCCTTCCTTCGGCAACCCCATTTTGGCACCACGAGGCTCAAAACGTGCTTGGGTGGCTCCATTCTTTTCTTGACGAACGGTTTTCAGCGTTTAAGACGAGGATGTTTGTTAGCGGCTCTGGGGCGAGAGGCTATGCATGTATGACGAATATTACAGCATCGCCCCGACGAATCTCAATCACTTGTCTTTTCCGTGGCTTTCGCTGGGGTCGGGAAGAATCCGGGGTCAAGGCGCCGTTCTGCTCGACAGGCTCTGTTTGTTGATAGAGAGAGTGAGATAAAGTTGAATTCTGCTCTGTACCATTATCAGTGGATGGGCGTCCCAAATGTATGTGTGCATGGATGTCGTCCGTTAGTGACAACCATAGTTACATACAATTTGTATTTCACTCGCGAACCAGGATATCCGTACGAAATGAGCCACTCGTCATGCAGCAATTCAACGGTTGAGGCACACGACTCCTCGTGCTTTTCGAAATGGCCCGTTGGTCAGGAGATAAATCAAGGCTGCCAAGGGTCACTCACTGCACTCACAGAGGGTATCTTGGCCGCAGAGGTTTTGACCTTGGGGCGGCTTCTCAGCCATGGACCAGCTCCGCCTTGGGACCTGATTGGATCTTGTCGGACCAACCGTCCCGTGTAATTATACTCTCGTATTTTGATGCTCTGAGTGGTGAAGTTGGGAACACAGTGATAAAGCTGTGGGACTCTGTCAACTCCTTGGCTGCGGAGAAGGGACTCTGGCAGGCATCCCTGCGTGACCGTCCAGTGAGGCTCAGTTAAGATGACAGCTGAAGCCTTGCAGAAACGACATTCATTTCCTCTCTATTCCATATAACCAACTTGTCGTTTCCTTCCCACAGTAATGGCTATCCTTGTTTAGTCTTCTCGCAGTTTTGCGAACTTTTGCTTCTCACCTCCTTCAATGCAATCCAGCCATGCGACCTGCTCGGCGTCTCCACACTTCGATACAATGCACCATCTCGCAGGATTTCTCTCGACGAAATCACAAATAACAAAAATCGATAAGAGCTACTATCAAGAACATTTCGTAAACCGTGGCGATGGATATTGCAGGCCTAGCCTTCGCGCTGGCGGCTGCTGCCACCGAGCTCGTCATCAAAATGAGAGCATTTAAAAAAAGGATGAATGATCGCCCAACCCTAGTCGATGGCTTGCTAGATTACTGTAGAATGGTCAAAGACGATTCTGAAATGATTGCGATGCAAGCAGACAGGATACAGGCGATCACGGATCCATCATTCCACGGAAGGGGGAGTCCTTTATATATTCTCTGCACGAGGCTGGACGGCCTGACAAGGCTATTGGGTGAATTCGACGAAGAACTCGGCGATCTCACCAGAGCAAGTGCTAGCACCTGGCTAGGAAGGGCGATACTGCAGATTGGAACAGACGATGCGCTGCCTAGAATAAAGCAAGTCCAGGATAGGATAGAGCAGCATTTCCACAGTCTATTGCGTTCCATGCAATGTATCCAGTTGAGCTTTCAGTAGGTCTTTGTCCTCCCTCCTTCGAAAGACATTGCTCATGTTTCGATGCAGAGATCCGTCGGCACATTCTCGCAGGCCAAGTACGGTTTCGTTTATGGCGCCCAACTTCCCTACGCCGCCACCTTCTCCCGGCGGCGCCGATTTCAGGGTGGCGTCAAGGGGCAGGAAACTATCCAGCATCTCCAGCCTAAGCCAGTCCTCAGACATCGAGAAGGCAACCCGTAATCTGGATCTCTGCTTAGTTGAACGGTTGCTGAATGAAGACGTCACAACAACCTTGGTCCACACAGTTGACTCCCATGGACGGACTCTTATCGACATCGCCATCTGTCAAGGCAAGAGCACTCATCCGTCGCAAGTCCCGCTCGTCAAGTTGTTGAAGGAGCGAGGGGTGAAATTCACGTTGAAAGACGAGCGTCACCGCAGGATGTACCGTGAAATCATGGACGCGATCAAATTTCAATCGAAGAAGAAAAGGTGAAATTCCCAAGAGCAGGTGGCTGGCTCAATAAATAAAGACGGATATTGAATCTCGTCTCGACACGCATCTTGATCGCGGTATTTCTTTCAAGGGAAACCCGCTGCGGCCTGCAAGTGACAACAGTCTCTAGGTCCAAAGAACGCTTCCTCGAGGGGCTAGCTTCATGCTCGGCTTAAGCAAGACGAGACGCCCATACTCTTATAGCCCGAGTATAAAGGCGGAAGCCGGCCGGTGGTCGGTTGAGATAGTGTTGTAGTACCGAAAATGGTTATCATCAACACGCAGGGGGCGATTGGGTCAACGAGGTTATACGAAATTCATATCTTCCGACACGATGCCCATCGCCTACTAGCTTATCGGCAAACGCATGTTCCTCTCCGTGCGCCTGGCAAGAACCTAAAAAAATCATATTTAAAGGGGCCATTCCTAGCAGCAATAGGCAGACTTGAGATGTACTCTGGAGGCATCTGGGCAAACACCTCATTCTGCGCGGGCGCGTTGGGGATCAAACCTAATATAACTTGCAAGCTCCTCGCCTCGTTGGATATCACCTTTTCCGTTGCCGTTCGCTTGTGCGGAGAAAAAATGCCCGTCCAAAGCGCGGTAACAAGGTATAAGATCACTATTCAGATTAGAGCTGGACTCGTTGAATACTTGTACTGCAGCATGTCTAAAAGACAGTAAAAACGTATATATACCCCCAATACTGGAATAAAATCCAAACCAACTTGAAAGGACTTTTATCACAGTTATAGCAGGCCAATATAAACAAAATTGGCTCAAAAGAGCAATACAACTGGGTACAAATATATACTGCAGTTTGAGCACATTCCAGCCAGGAGTTCATTCCTCATTGGTTTCTGAGGACAGGTGCTTTGCTGTCAGCCTTTGTATCAGCCTGATGCACTGCCAGCGATCAAAA